TAGTCGTTAGTCCAAAAATATATGGGAGTAGCTAGTCAGCCTGATATCACAATTCCTTTCTTGGACATGCAGTTTATATAATATATCGGAAAAATACGATTTCTCTTGCCGGTTATAGTCCTCGTATAATGCTGATGATCTGTCAGGGATAAGGAGGTCTATAACTTGTTGAAACCAAAATAATCAAGTCTTCACAAAACATATTCGTAAATAAAAAAAAAGGTTTTTTGAAGACACTTGATTATTTTGATTTCCAACAAGTTATAGACTTCCTTATCCCTGACAGATCATCAGGATTATACGAGGACTACAACCGGTAAAACAAAATCATATTTTTCTCATATATTATAGAAGCTTCACGTACAAAAAAAAGAATTGGAGTATCAGGCTGACTGGCCGCTCCCATATAATTCTTTCTGTAATAATCACAACTGCGTTTTTTCCATCATCACACTTCTTCATTCCGCTGAATAACTTATTATTCATTCCTCTTCATTTGTATTCTACTTCTCTCATAACGTGTTTTAATTTATCTACTCATGTGTACAACGATAAAGAAAATTTACATCTTTAGAAAATAAAGAACCTAATCAATTGTGGTGGAATATAATCAGTATTAGTTGATTTCAGACGATTCTTCGTCTAATGATTATAACTGATTCTAAAACCTAATCGATTAAGGTAGATTATAATCGGCATCAGTTGATTTTAGTCGATTCTTATGTTAATAATTGTAATCGATTTGAAAACTTAATCGATCTTTTTAGATTATAATCCTTGATGGTTTGTTTTAGACGATCAAAAAATCATCAAATACTGATTAACATTCGATTATCCCTAAAAATTGATTCTAATTGATTAATAAAAAATCGTAGCAAACCGATTATAGTTGCTTATAATCGATTTTATTCGATTCCAATGAAAAAAATTGATGATAATCGATGAATAACCTTTGATTCTGAAGCAATTGTGCAAGGAAATCGATTATAATCTTCAAATTAATCGAAAAAAAAATCAAAATTTCTGGATTTTCATTGATTAATTATGCTTGAAATCGATGAAAATCATGTATTTCTTGATTTTTCTGTTAAATTTTTTACATTGAATGTATAGAAAATAATGACGAGAAAAAAAAAATAGTTGAGTTTTTTATTTCTGTTCTTTTGGTTGTTGTAACATCTCTTCTTGTTGATAAGGTGAAGTTTGTTTTTGAGCTTGTTTACGTGCACTTGTAAAACTATAATCTTCAATTGTATCATCATATAAAACAGAATAATCAATATCTTTTCCACTTAGATCAGTTGATTCATCTTCGATTTCATTTGTTAATTTTGTTGTTTTTTCATTATCATTTTCTTCATCCGAGCTATCAGTATGATGACCTATAAAACTTGGTTTTCTTGATATTCGAGATATTACAGTAGAAAATGATCGACGACGTTGATCAGAAGAACTTGGATCATTTTGTACAACAGGTATTGCATTTTCTTTAAGTAATAAAACAAACATAAATAACAAAATGTTTTCAAATTATTTCAACTTGTAACTTTCAATAGAATATAATAAAAGATCGAAAGTTTTACACAATCATGCTCTTTATTTTTGATATATAATAAACGATGCAAAAAATTTTGAAAACAAGTCGATGTTTATTTCTCAGCAATGAAACATAGTATTGATTTGGATGTTTTCTCATCTGAAAGAGCCACGTCTGGAAAGTATATACAGAAAAAGAAAGCTTTACTTTAGTTTTATCTAGCAAATTTATGTTTTATGAAAGCATTCGAATTGATTAACCACTTTTCAGTCAACATTATCTGTGCATTATGTAGTTCCTAAGGAGCTAAGAATATTCGACGAAGAGTTCGGATCTTTAGCTTATTGCCGCAGAGATATTACATTTTCTCGATGTTTTTTTGAGTCAATATCGTATTCCTCTTCAGAAACACTTATTTTCGACTTGAAACTTTGCATAAAAATAGATCTTGACGAGAATAGTTTGTTGTGAAAGTCGCAGATCTTTTAGTTATTTCTATTCTAAGATATAGTGATGGTAAAGTTGTGCTTTTTACATCATTCATATGCTATGGTAAAGTCGATATTCTCATTTTAGGATGAAAGCAAATAAAAAAGACTTGAGATTTTCACCATAAGCTATTGTTATTAAGACCTGTCTCTGGAAAATTTTGAAGTCAGAACTTGGAAATCAGATTTTCCGGCCTTCGTTAGTTAAACAAATCCGGATATTTTCATGAATCAAATTAAGTTCAATGATATTTCTTACCAAGATGAAGCACAAGTGATCGTTGTCGTTCTCGTTTCTTATATATTGGTTCATTTTCAAGATCAATTTCTGAGCTATCTGCTGGTACGACGTTTTCTTGATCAATTTCTACTGAAGTTGATTTATGTTTCGTTTGTTGTTTTGATGTTTCTATTTCAGATAAAGCTTTTGCTGTTGCTTCTGTTAATGCTGATATAATATCATTTTGATTTTGTTCTGATTGAAGCAATAGATTATGAGACATTTGTTCAAGTTTTTGTAAAGCAACCGTTTGTCTTTTTGTTAATGATTCACTCGTATCATCTTTTCTTTTTGTCTCAGTAGACAGTGTTGATTGTATATTTTTAGATTGATCAATAGCATGTTTCTCTTTTTGAAGATGGTGTAATTCTTTCTTTTTATAATCGATTATATACACACGAATTTCATAGGGATGAAATTTAAATGATTTTTCGTTCTAAAACAAAAGAGTTTTTGTTCATATCAAAGACGATTATAAGTTTTTCGATGATATTTGACTACAGAACGGAATATATGTAAGCTTCTAGAGAATGACTTTCTTTATGTAATAGTGAATATATTATCAAGTTCCACTGCGTACTGTTGACATGCCGATATGTGATGTCAGGATCAAGGTTGCATGTGACGAAGTTGACGCTATCTATTGATATATCAACAGTACGCAGTAAAACTTGATGCTGCATCCATCATCAGATAGAGGTAATCTTTCGCTACCAGTCAATGTACAGGATGTGCCAAAAGCCAGGCGTGAAATAAAACTGCAATATCTTTTAAACTATTCAAGTGGTTCACATGAGCTTTTCATCGTTTCATAGCATAGTCTCGAAAGTTTTATTTCATATGATTTCATTCATAGCCATTGTGTCGAATAATCGGCATCTACTCAAAGTCATAAAACCGTGTGTGTCGAAGCATGTGTAGAAAGCCAATACATAAAACTTGTTTCAAGATCATTGTGAGTAATAAGCACAGATGATGAGATCATAATTACCTCCGAACAAACCTGATACACTGGTTTTTTGAAAATGTTTCGTAACACATGTTTTCACACTTTGAGTTGATGTCAATCATTCGAAACAATTGCTTTGGATCAAATCATATGAAATAAAACTTTCGAGCATGTTCTATGAAATGATGAGAAGCTCATATGAATCGCTTTAATCGTTTAAAAGTTATTGTAGTTTTATTTCATTCCTGGCTTTTGGGGCGCTCTGTGTATCACGTTCAGTAGCCGAAACCTTATAGCCATCATTCAAATCATTGATGAATAAATTGATTATTAAGAAAGCCAAGAAATAAAAAAATCCTTTTTTACCTTATGTTCAGGTATGGGTTCAAGTAAATTTGTTAAAACAAGTTGTGATGATGATAAACCTTGATATAAAGTAAATTGTGCTACACGATCTGTTAAATTTGTTAAAACATAGGCTCGCTTAGTATCTGATGTACGTGTATAACCATAGATTTGTTTATGATTTGATAATATTAAATCATATATTCCATATATAAAAATATCATTTTCTTTTCTTAAACGTGTAAGACGTTTATAGAAATTCAATATAGAATGTTCATCTTTTTCTTGTTGTGCTACATTAATATGTACATAATTCGGATTAATACCAATCCATGCTTGTTGTGCTGTACTGAAACCAGCATTTAATGAATCATCCCATTGCATTGGTGTACGAGCATTATCACGACCTGTCATATAGATCATTTCCATAAGTTCATTATGATCAATACCTTTAGCTAATTCAAGGTTATAAAAATTTCTTGCAGCTACATCAGGATAATCACTAATAGATGGAAAACGTACATTTGTCATACCAATTTCTTGACCTATACAGAAGTAAAATATGAAAATAAAGAATTGTTTTTAATATGAATAAACCTTCATAGATAAATGGTGTTCCCATCATGAGCATATAAACAGTTGCAAATGAAGTAGCACAATCCCTCCAATGTTCTTTATCATTACCCCATGTTGATACAATACGTGGTTTATCATGATTTTCAAGAAATACTGCGTTCCAACCAGTTTTTTCTAAACTCTTCTGCCATCTTGTCAAAATACGTTTTACTGGCAAAACTAGAAATTTTATTTAAATAATTTTATGATCAAAAAACATTTTTCAATTTTTGTTTACCATTAAGGGTACTCAATGTTTTATCCCATAAATTTGTTACTTCAAATTGAAAGATCATATTAAATTTTCCATCTTTTTCATCAACCCAATCAACAGCTTGATCAGCATCAACACCATTTGCTTCGCCAACAGTAACAACATCACGACCACCATATGTTTCACGCTTAAATTCAGTTAAAAACTCTTCAATACCTTCAACATTCATATGATAATCAAATGATGAAACAAATTCAAGTTGTTTTGGATTTGGTAAATCAGGTAAACCTGGTTTCTTTTTTATATGTGATACCGCATCAATACGAAAACCATCAATACCTAATTAAAAAAATATATTTTCCCAAAAAGAAAGTCTTAAAATTCATTTGAAATACCTCGATCAAGCCACCAAAGTGCTATTTTATAGAATTCTTGACGTAATCCTGGACATTCCCAATTAACATCAGGCATTTTACGAGAAAATAAATGTAAATAATATTGATCTGTTTCTTTATCATATTCCCAAGCTGAACCATTAAAAATACTTTCCCAATTATTTGGACGAAGACCACCAGGTTTACCATCTCTCCATATGTACCAATCACGTTTTGGATTTGTATGTGATGATCGAGACTCAATGAACCATGGGTGCTCACTAAAAGAAAATATTGGACTTTTATTTTCTATTTTTCTAAGGAATGTCATAATACATACTCGCTTGTATGATTTAAAACAAGATCAAAAATAATACGCATATTTCTATTGTGAACTTGTTTTATAAGTTCATCAACATCTTCCATTGTACCAAATACATCCATGATGTCTTGAAAATCAGATATATCATATCCATTATCCTAGTAAAAACAATGATAATTTTACATGTAGATAAAGAAAAAGAAAAATTTTTACATCGTTTGGACTTTTAAAAATTGGACAAACCCAAATAAGATCAGCTCCAAGATCTTTGATATGATCAAGTCGTTGAATAATGCCTATAAAAACAAAGTAGAAAGACTTCTAGACTTATGATTATGTTTTCTTCTGTTAATAAAGATTTACCTCGTATATCACCTATTCCATCTCCATTAGAATCTTGAAATGATCGTGGATAAATTTGATATGCTATCGATTCTTTCCACCATTTGCGTCGAACGTTAGTTGTAGGATAAAATGATGATTGTATTGTTGATTCGAACTTACGACTAGTTGATGGATTTTCTATAAGTGTACACATTTTATTATGATAAAACGAAGAATACAATAATCTAGAAGAATTTTGTTAGCCAGTTGAAGAAAATAATGATGTGAAAAAAAGTAATCATTGTATTTGATGTACGAAACAGATTTCCTATTTGTCATACTTCGAAATTCAAGCGTTAACTTTTGATTCTATTCTTTGTTTTCGTAATAAAATACAAATAAAAAAAGAACAAGTGCGAATTTCGTTCAGTACAGAAAGTAAAAGAACTAGAGTTCAAAAAGTGTAAAACTACAGCTTCTATAAAAACGCACTTCAAGCTCTTACCAGCATTAAATGATATATCCGATCCTCTACAAAAAACAGTGGAGATTTTCATAGTAATATAGCGACATCTGATCATCAAGTTAATGAAATGAATTCAAGACGTACAAAGTTGTGGTCAGATTTTGATTTGGATCATTTAGAATTTTGAGAAATTCTCATTATGAGGTCTAAGATTTCGGTCCAATCGAGTAATCGAAATTCGATAGGATTTAATCGATATGATCTATATCTGATAGGATGCGATGGACACGGCTACACTTAAGAAACTCAGAACTAATTCAGTTTTATTTCATTCTAAGAATAATTCAAATGAATGAATGAATAATATTGCGTTCAATTATTGAGTCAATCGTTGTATTGTTTTAAAACACACTTTATTGAACTTTCATATTCAAATACAGTCGAAATTTTGAAAAATGATGTAAATGAAAATTTTCTTTCTGTAATACTGTTAAATTTTTAATCTTTATTCTCATCTTTGTTCTAAAACGTATATAAAATATGAGTTATAAATACAAGCTATTTCTATCAATGCATATCTAGTTATTAGATTATGCTATAAGTATTTGATGTTGATTATTAATGTATTTTATTTCTTCCTTTATTCCCTGACATATGTCAATCATTGCATAATATAAATAAGAAAGTGGTAGATGTAAGTGGGTGTATTAACACACGAGCTGATCAATTTTATTCTCTTCGATTTATTTAGCAACTCGATTTTTTTATCTATGGAATAATGGGTAGATGATTATGAATTGGACTAAGCGTGAATGCAATTTTTCTCTCATTTAAATTCATATAAAATATTCGTTCATATATCAAAAGATAGAGTATTTTGTCCTCTATTCGGCTGATCCACTACCAGATATGTAAGCTTTGTTAGAGAATTGAAAATATTCTTCATAATAATTTTTTAGACAATGAAATTTCTTTTTTCGAGTTAAAGTTCTGTAGCACAATCCTTATTTGGACCATCAAAAACAAATGCAGAATTTCGTTCCTTATAAGACTAATTTTACTTAATTTTAACTACTATTGTCAATATAATTAATAAATACAAGTGAAAAGAAACAGTTAAAAATCTCTGGTCGAATATATTTTAAAGATATGCTATATGTTTAAGAGAGAGAGTTTTCCTTAGAAAATATTACTTGATAGAATTGCATGTCGTTCAAATGATCACAGTAAATGATTGATGTAGATCAATGCTTGACAAGTCATTGTCATATCTGAAGAAAAACATGCATAAATAATTTCAAATATAAAATAAAAATTTCATTACCTTATGATATTCACGTGATGATGTATCATCACATGGTAGAGATAGATTTTTCCTTCCGCATTTCAGGACAGAACATCGCTCATTGGCTATTAACATATCTACAAAAAATTATTACTTAAGCGTTGCAATGAAAAACTTTTGACAGGAAGTTAAATTTTGTGACATGACAATATATTTATATTAACATTCTTTTAGAGACAAAATATCCTGCTCATTATATCCATGAGATATTTTCTCTCAAGATTTTATCTGGTCATTTATAAAAACAAAAAAAAAAGGCTTTTTTTGCTCCCTGTACACACTGTCAATAGAATAAGAGAATAATTTGAATGTAATATGTTAAGAAAAGGAGAAAGAGACAATGTAAAGACTACTTTGAAAAGATGAAAAACTATGAGAATTATAATTTTTTCAAGACGGCAACGCTATGATTTAAAATAACATTAAAGAATATTCAAGACATCATAACGGTGATCGAACTTATTAATTACAATTATTATCATATGAAAATCGTAAAGCAACCAAATCATTATGAATACTTCAATGAAAGTTTCTTTTTTAGAAAATAATCAAAGCATGTATGAATGCGTGATAGATCAATGCATCACAGAAGATCACCTATAAAAAGACGTAGGGCAAAATGACCATTTTTCAATTCGAATAATCACTCAGTTATTGTAAATCTTTTCCGATCACTTACTTTTTCGCAATTTCGATATGATCATTTTAGCTTTCAATGGCTTCCGAAACACTTTCCTCGAATTATTTCACGATAATATGTATTCAATGCAATTTTTACGCTTTTCCTATATTGATTTCGCATCAAATCCAGTTTCAGAAAAAATAAATAGGTGTCTATAATATAAGAACTAGCCCAAAGCAGCTGTACATATCGTACGATGTCGTTTTTCTATGCTGTATCCAAATATGAAAATAAAATCTTAAAAAAAAACGATGTACATCAGGCTTTCAGGAATGTCGTGCTTAGACTGTTAAAAATTCCAAAGCTTCACCTTGTTTAATATATTTTAACACCTACTTTTAGAAGTGTTTTATAACTTTTACTCGATTCCCTTAGGAGATAGCCATGATTCTATAGTGACTTCACTAGAATGTCACTTCTTTTGATGAGTGAACAAATATTAGACCTCCTTACAGAATCGAATAATAATTATAAAAATTTCTAGGCACACATTTCACACCATACTGAAGATGATAACATTGTGGAAAAGGTCTGAATAGAAAAAAATTCTGAACTTAATATTATATTCGAATAGAACATACATGCATTGCATCGATATCGAAACAATTGAACCACTTAATTTTTTTTTTGGAATATTTTCGACAATTTTTGATATTATAGAAACATATTAGTTCTTTTCAGGAACCAAAATTGACTTGAAATGTTTAATGTGATATTTCTAATCAGCGTAAATAATTGAATTTAATACATATTATCGTAGACTTGTTTGAGGAAAAATCTGTTGTAAATCATTGTGAGTATTAAAAAGATCATATCGAAATCGCGCTAAATCAATTGATCAAGAAATATGTGCAATAACTGCATGACACATTTCCAATAGAAATCTGAAACAAACACACAAATAGGTACCGTGTTTCCAATGACGAACCATCTGTTAATACGTTGTTCTTAGTAATAAAGTACCATGCCAATAAAAACAAAAACAAAACTTTCACTATTCACATTTTGTTATGAAAAATATATTTCCTTCGCTAGAATAAAAGTCAATATGGAAAAATAACATTGATAGTTAATGGCAAATGTCGACACATAATCATCTAATCAAGTTTAAGAAAAACTTCACTGAATTATTTTTTTTACTATCAAATGTATATTAGAATTTTCTTGAAAAAAAAAAAGAATAAAATGAACGTAATTATTATTGCTCTTATTCATACATGTTAATATATTCATTACAAGACAATGGAAATTGATTCAATTGAAATTCCTAATTTAATATATTCGAAAAGAACTAATGAAAAAAATATTTTTAAGAAACAAGAAAAAGAGACATTTCAATAACAAATTTGGATTAGAATTAAAGAAGTAACTTCATTTGTAATTAGAATATATACAAACAAGATTACAACAAACAACTTTTTCATAATGTCATAACATAAAGAAACAAAATGCTTGCTCTACTTTGTAGATTACCATTACATTACTTTGTTTTTTACCATCCAAGTAAAAAAACCACGATTATTTACTGTAAAAATCAGAAACGGTCCATATACTGTCTACATCTTTGGATGCAGAAATACGACTCTGTCGTAGTGCCATTACAGCACATATATGATACTCTATTACTGTAGATAAGATTATGATAAAATACAGTTTATTTACTGCCATAAAACAAATCATAAATCATATCTATTTTGACCGACTTAAGACATTGAAATACAAAACATAGTATATTTTTTAAATCGTAAGTATCTTGGGTACTTTACTTTAGCTTGAAGTGCTAAATATAGGAACTAGTGATCCTGACATTTGTGTATATTTTTGTACAGAACATCACCATATGATTGGTGGAAATTTTTACCATTAGAAAAATATTTATGCGACCACCGTTTACCTATGAATAGTGTTTGTTTTATAATAAATTATTCTTAACAAAAAAAAGAAAAAATTTTTCTTTTCAAACAAAGTTTTGTTTTTTTTTTCTTATCATTATATGCAACTAATTTCTTATTAGTTCGTGTATGTATTATGACTGCTTGAGGTCGATTGAAACCGTACTTTGCAAGGACAAATCTGATCATTTGCTATTCTATTTAGATATTTGAATAATATCATATAGAAGATTTACATTTAGACTATCTCCATCTGTTTTTTTATATTTTGAAACCGATTATAACGTGCATTATTTTCTCTCAGACACACTCTCTCTCTCTCTGTTGTCTGTCTCTTCTCTTTTCGTTTTCCATATTTATTTTCTCTCCCTCTCTCTCCCTATCTTTTTCTATCACGCTGGCGGTATGCATTCGTATTCTAACATTTTCCCTATGAGTCATTCATTCTTAAACTCTAAACAATACTGGCCTCATCAAGTTCAGACGAAGACGTTCGAGGGTGTCCACCACCCAAACGTGCGCGTCTAAACCCAACAACATCAACAATTACTAAAGATTCTAATTATTCTTATTCTCAAACAATGCATTCTTCTAATCCCGGAATTTCCCAACAATCTTTAATTTCATCCCTTGATGACAATAATACAAATATTACAACATCTGATACAAATAATAATGTTGAACGACTTAAACAACATTGTAATGGTAATATATGTAATAATAATTTTTTAATATCAATATCAACACAAACAAATCATGAACAATTAAATACACAAATATTTACCAATAGTCAAAAAGAAATCTTAAGACTTATTGGACAACATTTACAAAGTGTTGGTTTAAGGTAGAAAAAAACAAAAATTAAAAATTCATTCTCTTTTTTTTTTTTTTTTTTTTTATTTTTTAGTAAAACAGTTTAAAGTTCTTTTTTTGGAAGTNAGGGAGAGAGAGGGAGAGAAAATAAATATGGAAAACGAAAAGAGAAGAGACAGACAACAGAGAGAGAGAGAGTGTGTCTGAGAGAAAATGGACAGAAGTAAGAATTAATTATTTTTAATTTAAAACTAAAATTCTTTTTCAGGCACTTATAGCACTTGATAAATTAAAACAATATATTGAAGAAAACGATGACATACAAGTAAAATTTTTTATTAATTGAAATAAATTTTATTTTTGTTTTGCTTGTTTTTTTTTCTATTTAGCAAATGAAATATTTAATTCTTGAACAAAAATATTTTGAATTAATTGAAGATAATCAATCTATGGAAGCACTTTATTGTTTACGAAATGAAATTCGAACATTAAATATTCGTATTGAACGAACACATCAATTAACCGCGTATGATATTATGAAATAAGACAAGAAAAGAAAAATATTTATTTCTTGTTTTTTTAATATTTAGGTTTCTTATGTTTAATTCTCTTAAAGATATGTATAAAGCAGCAAATTGGAGTGGAAAAGGTTTTACATCAAGAGATAAATTAATGGAAAAATTACAAAGTAATTTTATTCAAAAATTTAATAGCTGCTGCAAAGTTTTGCATATGTTTTTCTTTTCAATATATTCTACTTAGAACTGACCAAAAAGTTCTGATAGCATCAACTAAAAAAGAAACAAAAGTTTTTTTGTTTTTATTTTATTAAAAGTGCAAAATAATCATCATTATTATTTATACAAATGAACTGATAACGCACGATTTTTCACTACATGTATACTATCAAAATGTAATATTCTCGAACATGACGTCAGAAAATGTCACATAAGAAACAGAAAAATGAATCACGTGAAAACTTCCAGAATATACTCGAACATCGGATAATGGATAATTAAATATTCGTATAGTCGCTATAGTATGAACTGAGTCTTAAAAAAATGTTAGAATTAAATCTAGAATAAAGTTATGATCTACATAATTATAGACGAGACATTTTACTATGTATTCATGCAATAAAATTTTAAACATCGTTTTTTTCTATTAGAAATTGCATATAGGGATGATTCGCAAACTTGAAAATTTTCGTTTTTCTTCAGCCATGTTGTTCACTGATTCTCAAAAAATGACGCACAACTCCTTTGCTGAATTCTACCAGTCTCAAGACACTTCTGAATGCAAATAATCTAGTATAATAATAGACAAAAGAATTCGATTATAAATAATTTTCTAGAGATAATAAAAAGTCTCAGAAAACTTTTTTCGAATTTAGAAAATAAAATGTCATCTAATTAGAAAGTTTATGTTTTCATTCATTGATTCTGAGTTTGAATTTTGCTTCTGAGTATCTGCTCTTCAATTTGTTGTACACGAGAACAATTATCTTAATATCATGCGAAAGTCTTCGCTATAATGAATAGCTCTATGTTTATATGATAGAGTCTTACAGGAACGTTTTTCGCCATAGTTTTCCTGCGGGAAGGAGAACGACATTAAGTAATGGCATTTCCCGACAGTTTTTGCCTGAGTTTGATATATATTTATGTAATAGCCTTTTATTTTTTCATAATTAACCAATTGTTCTTTCAATCATAATTTTTATTTTAAATTATGTCATATCCAAAGATCAATTTTTCTTAAGAATGTTCGTGTCGGTGTGTTGTCTATCGTTGTATTCTTTTTTCTAAACAGAAAATTTTAAAGAAATAACACTAAAATCAGTTACTATCGTTGAACTACTCAGCGGTTTCCACGTCTACTTATGGGGACACAAAAATGTGAACAAAAAAAAAGTCTTTTTGCGGAAGCGAGAATTGAGAATAGTCATTCTCGCAGAAAACTAATATGTGATACTGTAAAACATCGAAAGCGGAAAAGAAAAATGTGACTAAAATTGTAAAAAGTATTGCCCGATACTTTTTATTTTGAAAGTTCTTGTGATCTTCCGGAAAAATTTTCTATCAAATACTTTTATTTATTTGAACAGTAAATATTTTACTAATTCTAATTCAAAATAAAAAAGGATAAAATCTTTGCAGTATGACATTGCAATGCTATATCAAAAAAGAAAAAAGAGCAAAATTAACGAAGAAATTTTAAACCAATCTTTAATACATTGAATTTTTCTTTTATTAGAATATTTTCCACCTGATATAATGTTACCGCCAAAACGACTTGAATCCTTATTATCACAAGCAATTGAATTACAACAAGAACGATGTACATATCATGTTAAACCAGGAAAATTATCTATAGAAGATATATCATTACTTCAAGATCATGCATGTACCAAGTAAGTATTAACCTATAAAGAATTAAATACTTGAATTACTATTCAAATATATAGAATAAGTTAAATTGATTATTAATCATTATATATTATTTAAGTCTTTTATTTTCTTTATCAACATAGTCTAGTATTAAGAATTCTTCTCATAAAAATATCATGAAGTTAATTCTAAATTAAGTTTTACATTAGATAATTTCTTTGTTCCAATTAAAAGTTTTATTGTACCTGAATACACATTTTGAACAGGGTTGATGGATCTCTATGATTAATTTATTATAGAAGTACAAAATTAATTTTCTTTCTAGACAAACATTACCTTGTGTTACTATTCAAACATTAACAGATCATACAGATGAAGTATGGTTTTGTAAATTTTCTCCTGATGGTACTAAACTCGCAACTGGTTCAAAAGATGGTAATCTGTATATATATGATGTTGACATGGTAAAATAGAAGAAAACACATCTTTTCAATGCAAATTTTTATTTTTAGGAAACATATAGATTAAAATTACGAAAACAATTTGATGGCCATTCATTTGGTATTGGCTATATAGCTTGGTGTCCATTTAGTCGATATATAATTGCTTGTGGTACAGACGAATGTAATGAAATATGGATATGGGATATTCAAGTAAGAGATATTCCAAGAATGAAACAGTCAAAGTCCATCGGATTGGTGCTAGACCCAATGGACTCTACCTAATACATTTCTCAAATAAGTCGTCTGAAAAAATATGTTGAGGTGCACTAGTCACCGAATACGAAAATTCAAAAAAGAAGTATCTTGTATCTTCGGAAAGGCTATTCTCTTCTGATTAGAAAATTTCATTCAAAATATGGTTCGATCGGATCTGAAAAGTTTGAATTCGATGAACTCTAGAAATAGCAAATACTTCGAGATTGAAGTCTCTGCTGTCCTCTACAATGTTCTTCATATTAGAAAAAAAAATTAATTATTTATTAAAATTTAGAAAGAAGAACAACGATCACGTATACATCATACACCAGATGATAGTTTAACTTGTGCTGCTTGGTTACCATGTGGTACAAGATTTGTATGTGGAGGATCACGTGGACAATTTTATTACTGTGTATGTAGAAAAATATATCCTTAATTGCTAATCTTTTTTGTCTTATTTAGGATATTGATGGTAACGTCATTGATAGTTGGGAAGGTGTTCGTTTACAATGTTTAAATGTAACAAATGATGGAATTATACTAGCAGCTGATGCTCAAAAACGTATTAGTTCATATAAATTTGATAGTTTAACCGATCAACAAATGTATATTTGTAAAAAAAAATTTCTAAAAACGATTTCACTTTATATTATTCATTTAGAATTCATGAAGATCATCCAATAATGTCATTTACAATAAGTAAAGATGGTCGTCTAGCTCTTCTTAATATTGCTACACAAGTATAAATAAAGAAAAAAAGAATTTCTTTTTAAGTTTATATATTGTTTTTTTTTTTATTGAAAGGGTGTTCACCTTTGGGATCTACATGATAGACAATTACTTCGTAAATATCAAGGTGTAATACAAGGACATTATGTTAATCACGCCACATTTGGTGGACCTAATGAAGAATTTATAGCAAGTGGTAGTGAAGGTTAGTTAATATTGTTAATAATTAATTATTGACTTTTTTAAATTTTCTTTTAAATAGATTCAAAAGTTTATTTATGGCATCGAAGACAAGAACGTCCAATAATGATCTTTTCCGGTCATTCACGTACTGTTAATTGTGTTTCATGGCATCCTATACTACCATTACTATTTGCTTCAGCATCTGATGATGCAACTGTTCGAATTTGGTCGACTACAGAACATCAATTACAAACAGGTTAAATTTATTTTTCATTTTTTTTTTTTATTTTGTTAAATTTAATTTTTGTTTTTTTTTATTTTATTGAATATATAGAATCATCGATTAACAGTGAATAATTTGATATATAATCATTATGCAAATATTTGAACATTAAAACGATATTTCTCTCTGTGAATAAAACAAGAGATTTTATATATATATATATATATTAGCCAAACCAGTTTTGAAATTTTTTCTTTTCAATCTAACGTTTTGTTTTCTTTCTTATTTTGTGCAAACATAAACACTCTTTCTTTTCTTTCTTTTTTATTAAATACAGCACTGTTTATTTGAATACAAAAGCCTACCTTTTCCAATGAATAAAGATAACATCATAATATTGATATTTTAAACAAAAAGTACAAAAACCTTAACTATAGTAAAAAAAAAGAAAGTTCAATCATATAGGTTTGTTGTTTTTTTTTGTAGAACTAAATAAAAAGAAAATCATTCTATGTTAATGTTGGTACATCGATCGATTCTACTATTTGACTGAATCTTTTAACCCAAAAAGCTTTTATTTCCTATTTTTATTTAGAATCAAATAGTTCTAATGAGAAGAGAACAATTTTTTTTACTAATATTTTTCATGTATGAGAGAGCAATCAAGGACGAACAAGTACATTCATATAGATATGTTTTTACATTAATTTTATATAGACAGAGATATAGAAAGATAGGAACGTGATAATAATGATGAAAAAAGTGGTATTAATAGTAGTTGTTGTAATTTAACTTGGTTAGAACGTCGAGTAGACAGTAATTTATTGAGTTATCGGGTTACGAATGGTAATAAGAGCCCTTGTGGCAAACATCAGTTTATATATTATTCGCATTAATAAATAGATTCAAGTTGTTTAAGAGGGTAAGATTTATTACTGATGCATCGATTGATTTATTTTATTAATTGATATATCATTATGATGGTAGAAAATAGTAGTATTTGTATCTTAATAGAAAATTCTTAATTCAAAAATAAAACACAATAACAGAATGATGAAAAAAGTATGTATTCAATAGATCTGCAATTGTTAACGTCAAAAAATTAATCTTTTTAAAGACTTAATATTATTCTTCGGTGTAAGTCATGATTCGTAGCATAATTGTTTAACGTTGCAGCTTTAGATGATACAAATCTTCAAGATTGATTAGGATAATGAATTGTCGTCACACAAGAATTTTTGAATAAACCAAACATAGAACTTATAGTCTTCGTCTTTCCGATGCATCAAAAACATTTTGCTGAGAACATTGAATAACTGAAGTTGACATTTTATGTCATTTATTTTTTAGAGAATTAATTAATTTTATGTTAATATATAGCTTGCTTTCAAAAATTTATATTTAAAACAAAATTTCTCACATTTAACATGAAATTATTTTTATATTTTCAACTTTTTTTCTTTTTAATATAAATAATTAGTTGATTAAAGTAGACAAATTAATCATCAATCATAATGTTTTTTTTATTTTATAGAAAATTAAAAATACTTTTAAATACTTAATGTCAATGAAAATTAGGCTACTAAATATAGATTTATGTCATCATTGATAATTTAGCTTAACAAAAGACAGCTTTTTTCATTAATGACAGGTGCATTCTCATTAATTCTAAAAAAAAGTGATGTTAGTTTTCATTAGTATAATTTAAAAAAATTTATTTACATTTATAATATTGATAAATAAGACAATTATTTGTATGTACATATTGAAAGTATTAACATCAGTATTTTTGTTTATCATAATTTATATAAAATATTTCAATAAATAAATACATCAAAACTATTCAACTGTTAATGGTTTGTTCTCAACTTAGGAAACACCATCAATTCTATTTGATATTTGATATTGTTCGTTAATGTTGATCTATAACTGTTAAGAACTCAGATTGTCTCATTGAATATCTCGAACAGCTAGATACACATTGAGTTATTTATTTGATAATAGCAAAAGAAGGAAATCAATCACGATCAAGTACTTTGGATCATGCCAGGTGGTGTATCTCTTGCACATTTATCAAGGACATAACATTGTGATTGGATGTTGATGATAATGATGACATGTATGTGCCTCCTAATCATACAATAGTTGGTAATTCTCTATTCATTTTTTTTTACTGTGATCTTGTTAAGAAGAAGATGCACATAATTATTCTCTTCCTTGTTCTATATTCGTATTGTCAATGAATGGAACATGAGTGTGTTTGTGTTGTCACTTATTATATCAATTGTATTGACTAGTAACAATGTTTAAACAAGTTTTTTTTTGATTGTTCGCATCGTACGAGTCGAAAAGAAAAATAGACAGAAAAAAATAAAAATGACGACAATAAGAATAAGTACTCTTGCTATGACAAACATGTAAAATGCAATGTCGTTCAGAGATAAAGATAGATCATTGATTGCTTGCTCATCATTTCTCTATTTTCGTGTGCAACAAAGCGAGTTTGATATAAATAATAGATGAAACTATAGAAAAGATCTCTGTCATTTGTTTCTTATTTAGCTAATTTGAGTATATATATATATATAAGATGGCCTCTATAGTATCTTTTTCTTTCTTTTATTTATATGTTGGATTGTCTTAGTCATTGTTAGTAAGAATAGTAACATCAACCTTGAGTTTCTTAGTGTGAAGATGAGCATAAAGAGTCTTCGTTAGTTGTTGCTCTCCGAAATGAGACAATAACCGGAAATAAGTGAGCACTAGACAACATTTTGCTAGGATCGCTTTCACCCAATCGGTTCTATGTGTCCTTGTCAAAAAAAAGTGTCGTCTTGTTTCTTCTATTTCATTTGTCTTATCTTGTTCTATTATACGAGCATATCGAAATAATCGACTGAATTCTTCTTCTCAAGTTCTCTCTCTTCTCTCTTCTCTCTCTCTCTTGTTATGGTCGCTATTTTCAGTTCTTCGCACTTCTTTATTTCGATTCACGATATCATAAATCATCTTTTTCTTCATCGTCTCCGACTATTTTTTTTTCTTTTTTTTTTTCTACAATTATTCTGTTCGTAGTTATACGCTATATTGCCGTTTTTTTCTATGTTAAAAGCTCAATCGTTACCGCCGTCCGACAGACGTTTGCCATTTTCTTTACGAGCTAATTGTCTGTTGTTGACGAGTTTCTTTTGCTACTTATTATTCGGTCGGTAATATTTAAAAAAAAAACTTATTAAAATACAAAGGTAGTTAATAGTATTCATATACCATGCAGAACTTTGCTACTGCTGTTAAACTAATATATAAACATATGGTCGAGATTTTCAACATGATATCATCAATATGTTTAGTTTATTTCAAGAAAAGATTTATAGATTTTTGCATGATTGATTTCAGACGAAATAAAGCTTCCGATGAATTTAGTTTGTCTTGTTATTGTTGTCGTTGTCTGTCGAGTTTTTCTTTTCCTTGTGTTTTTTTTTTTTTGAATATGTGTTTGAAGAAAGAGACAGAGAAGAACATAATTACATGACGATTCATTTCTCTGGATGCGCCTCGAGTCTTACACTACCAAAACAAACTAGACCAAAGGCAGTTTTCTTTTCTTATTCTTTATGACAACGAGAACACGATTCATCAAATCGGGAATGGGATCGAATTAGTCCTTCTCTCGGTTCTCTTCATTTCTTTCTCCCTCTGGTGTGTGCGTAATGTGTCAAGGACATCGTTGTACTCGAGTCGATCAATCGATATGTAGTTGTTTGTTGTCGCCATTGTCAAAAGAATTTTAAGAGAAATAGCCTAAGAAAAGAAAAAAAATGAAGAAGAAGAAGAAAGAAAGAAAAAAAAAACAACGAAGCAGATTAGTTTTTAATGTGTTTCAGATTAAGCTTGATCTGACAAAGGTCTAATGAATAGACAAAAGAGTCGATGGTGAACACCGTTATTGTCAATGCCATTTTTGTTCTATCGTATATCAACATGGCTAATCATCGAAATGATGGCCACATCAATTTTAGTCGCCTTAAATATGGTCATACCGATATTAATGGCATTTGGTTCATATCGTAATATAGTGAATTTTTATTTTTCAAGTGCTGCTTTATCAAGTTCATTACTTAATTGTTTATACATTTATTATCTAGCACAAACACTTCGTTCAAAAGGTCTTTCAGAAAACAATTGTCGAGCAATTTATTATTTACAAACGTCGTGTACTGTTGTACTTGGTATGCCATTTTTCTTTTGTTTTTTTTTATAGACTTAAGCAAAAAAAAAAAAAAGAAAGAAAGAAATTAGAAGACATGAAGTTTTCTTATTGGTTTAATGAAATAAAATAGCAAGAGTAGAGAAAAACTATTATAACAATTATTATTAAAACTTATCTATTTTATTTTCTAAATACTGTAATATGATACTAATTTCATTAGAGTAAATCTCTTATTACGGTTTTTTTTCTTCTCTTCTAATCTTATTATGATTATAAATTACCAATTTTAATATGACCTAATATAATAAAATCTAATTTATTGATTTTGAGATGAATAATGAAAAAAATGATAGTTGACACTAAGAAAATTTTTATTCTATTGAGACTAGAAAACAAATCTTTTATTAATGATTTCATTTATTCTAGCTTATACAATAACAGCAATGCATGCAAATTTTGTCTTATGTTTATTATCATCATCCGATCAACATAATTCAACACGTACATGTCTACAATCATGTGGTCTTTGTTTACGTCGATTTTTTCGTCGTTTATGTTTTTGTCTTGTACTTTGTATATGGTCATTATCATTTACAGCAACAATACCATTACTTTATACAATTGATTCGAATGAAAAAACTCCAAAACCTGTTTATTGTCCAGGTACAACACAAATAAGTTATCTTGAAGAATGGTTTGATCGTAATCGTCTTATACAAAGTGTTTTATTTAATTTAATACCTTTATTAACTACATTATTTATGTCTTTAATTGCTTTACTAAAATTATTTTATGATTGTCTTTTTTATTTTTATTTACGTTTAAAAATGTCAAAATGTTCACCATGTCGAAAAAGATCATCTAAACGTTGTCAACAACAACAACATTTATCTATACCTAATTCAATATCAATGTTTTCATCACTTGGTGTAATTAGTAATAATAATATTCAAAGTGGTTTAAATTTAACACAAATGCCTGAATCACCAACACCAACAAGTGAAACAACAATATCATCATCAAATTTAATATTACACTCATGTGGACATTGGTGTTCATCATCATTTCTTCGATTTTTACTTGTTTTATCATGTTGTCTATTAGCATGTATTTATCCGATAGCAATGCGTTTCTATCTTGTCTATTTTTCTGTACTTGTACCACTTATATTTGCTGTACTTAACTATTCTTTAGGACAACTTACACAAACTCAAAAAACTACAACGAGTACAATTCCAATGACAAATTTAACAGAGCAACAAACAAATGTTGAAAATCGTAATGTAATTATACCGATATTTTTGAATTCAACTGATACAAATAATGATAAATTAATAAAACAAAATTCATCAATTAAAAATGAACGAATTTGTTCAAATGAAGAATATGAATTACAATCACCATTAATGGGTAATTTAGTGAATGAAAATGATGGTATAGATGAACATGAACAATATCCTACTTCACTGTCAAGTTCATCACAATCATCAACAATACCGGCAACAAATACGCACACTCAACAGCATCAATCATCGTTAACAGGGAAACAAAAATATTTTTCGAACAATTTATATGAAAATTATAATCGTAATATGTCAATGAGATAGAATAATTAAATGCTTCGTTGTTCGTTCTATTTTCGATTCGTTTTTAGATGGAATAGAAGTTTAAATATATACATAAAACTTTCAGCTTCCATCTGTTTCACTTGGTTCTTCTCTCATAGCTTTGAGTCGTTGCCGTTCGAGATAATTTTTCGTTGGTAATTTTTTTCTTGCAGATCGTCGTACATTTTCCCATAGAGCTAAATGTTCAAGTCGTTGAAAATCTCCAAGTGTTGGTGTTTGAGATTCTTGTTGTTGATTGTCATTGTCATTTTTATTTTCTTCATCTGCTTCATTAATTTCTGCTAATGTGACAGGCTGAGTACGAAAACGAAGACTATGATGAGATCGTGTTAGTTGATTACCGATTTTCGGTGGAGGATATTCAAGTATAATAGAAGGTATATCTTCAAGACAAGTTTTTGGATATCGTTCATTTACAAAATGTGTTGTATGAAATGGAGTTGAATTTTGATGATGATGATTGGCATTGATCAGTGATGATCGTTCGTTCGATGGAGATTTTGATGATATCGTTGTAGTAGTCGTAATTGACATTATTTATGTAACATGAAATATAAAATCTATTTGACAACATAAAATGTCCTCATTATTTTGAGAATAAAAAAAAAATCTTACTGTTATTTATCTATTCCATAAATGACATGAAAAAGTACAAAAAGCAAGAAAACAAAAGGTCGTTTTGCAATATGCCGGATGAGTTTATATGATAATATCCTTCTGTCAGTTTTGGTCTCTAGCTTTATCGTTGTATGTGTGTGTTGGCACCCTTCTGTGTATGTGTGCGTGCCTAATTCGCAAATAGACTGGAAGATAGGCGGAGATACGCTTTGTGAAATCAGTTAGCTGGTAGCTCTCGTTTGTTTTTTGTAGTACAAACGCAAAGCTTAAGTCAATAATTTTTATCTGTCGTGTTGCAAAGAGAAAATACAGAAAGAAGAAGAAAAACAGAAGAAAAAGGCAAAAATTACAATAGAATAAGCTATGACGTGTGTACCAGGATTTATATATATACCTGTCGTCATCGTCAACAATGTGTTTCCGTCGATATTGCCTTTCTTTTTTCAATACAATGATCATTGATAGATATGATTTTTTTCTTTTTGTTTTCTTTGTCGCATATAAAATATATCAACTTAATGTACGAAGCTAAAGATATTCGCATGTCATAGACAAGAAAACTCAACACACGTCAATAACTTAAGACAGAAATTATAACATATGCATACTTAGTTTTTTTTTGGATAATACTTACAGAGAAGAATCTTATTAGAAAGAAATCCTATATAACTAATGGCTGTTTTGGTATGAGTAGAATAAGCAGCAAAAAAATAAAAGGAAAAAAAATCAACTAGAAAACATCGTTAGACATTCTTCGTCGATCAATTTCTCTTCAAGATATCCTAGAGAAAAAAATCTGTCCAAATGAAAATATGACAGACCAATACACCATATGGGTTGTGACAGACATATAGGCTGTACGAGTTATATGACAAACGATTAATATCAGCAATCATGTGGTAACCATAAAAATAAGGAATGAGAAAACACTGTTAATCATCGTAAATAAAAATTTATTTGATTGGGATATTTGTATTAAGGGACTTGCTTCTTTCTTTTTACAACACATATTCTTCTATTATTTTTAAGAATAAAACAAATATGAGTTGATATTTATGCTTTGATTTTATTTGTCTTTTTTAGTGTTAAAAGTAAATTTGTTATATTTTTGAAGAAAATAGTTTATAAAGAAATTATACATTCGATTTTTATAAAATTTCATAAAACTATGAAAAAACAAATGAACAAAATTAATGCTAAACTATTATTTTAAGAAGTTATCAGATTCTATTGAAAAAAAAAGAAATATGAACATACCTTATCTATATTTATTCGAAAAATAAAATCATGAATATGCTCATCATTTAGTAATCAAAGTTTTTGTTTTATTCTCAATTGTTAATCCTTATAAAATATTTATGAACCTATAATGACAGTATGTCTCATCATATTCTATGGTTTCTGCATAAGATAGTCCTTTGAAAGATACATTCATTAACAACCAATTATTAAATAAATCAAAAAACGAAGTCATAAAATTTCAATGAATTAAATTTCTTCACACAGTGAATACTATTTGCATTTTAAGTATACAATACATAGTCTGATCAACAACTATGTGCGAAATAGATATTTTTTTATTCTTACCCGATGTAAGGAAGACGTATCAATAATTAAGTATTGATCTTTATTATGATGAACTAGTTGATAAAATATGATAATTCTGCAATGTCATTATCTTATATATTATTACTCAATAGGATTGTTCTACGTAGAATTGTATTTATTTAATATCAAATTACAAAATAAATAAACTTTTCTTTCGTAAATTAATTATGTTTTGTTTGCAGAATTTAATTAAAACAATGTTATATAACTACTTATAAAATAATTTTCATTTTTGTTCTATTTACTCTACAAAATTGATATTCGAACTAATAAAACGTTTTTTCAATATTATATATCATAGATGTAAAAGAAGCTTTGATTGTCTCAAGCAATATTCTTTTCTTGCTTGTTTCTATTTTGGTAGAAGCTTTTATTCATGATATATAATGTGTACTTACTGTTTACATTTATTTTATGCAGTATTTCTGCTTTTTACATACTATTCTTACACATATACAAGTAACATAAAAATCATATGATGTGTTTTTTTTTTATTGAATGGATTTTAGAAATATTTTTAACGTTTTATTGTTTTTATCTCATATCGATATTATTTTTTAGATGAAGATTTATAAATCGAATTTCTTTAAAGAAACATAATAATTAATTCATTTGAAAAATTTTCAAAATCTTATTTAAATTTTCAACGATTTTCATAAATAAAATAAGTTGAATAATTTTTATTTGAAAATAAAACGATTTGTTTAGATTAAAAAAAATATTTTATGAAGTAAAATTTTTTTTCTATTTTCCAACAAGTGATTTGCATATGACAGTTGTTAAAACAGGTTGACAATAGATTATTAATCACATAGGTGATTCAATAATCGATTGATAGTATTCTTTAAGCATATTGCTATGCATTAATAGCCTTCGCTTGTTAATAAATAGCACAAAATGTCTACATGTCAACTTTGATCAATTGATTAAAATGACTATTCTAGTCATGCTGACAAAAGAGACAATCATCGAGTTAAAAAACAAAAACAACGAAAGAATAATATTATGTTTATTTCAATAGTTTTCGAGTATTATTTTGAAAAATGAAGGTTAAGGTATTCAGAAACTAGCTTATTAGTAAATAGTGATAATCAGGTTTTTTTTGTATCGGTTTCTTTTATTTGACTCTTTTGTGAGATGAAGGACAACTTTTAATAAAGATTTGTAAAAGATGTCGATTATACCAGCTATAACTCAATGATAAACTATCTAGACATTTGCCACGTCCTCCATGAGCTGTTTCATTATGAGTACGTTTATAAACGTCATACATCGCCTCATATATTAGCACTAGTTTATGAGTTTTAGCATCACATGCTAAAACCTTCAAAACAAGGACAAAAGGCTGATTGCAAGCAAGGCAATCATTAACAATCAGAAAATTAGTTTCCGGATAAAAACATGATTGTTATTTTGCTGAACGATGCAAACTAGAAGTAGTATCAGAAATAACCTGAGTCCATTATTTGATAGTGATACAATCGAAAGCAATCATTGGCAAGCCTGACAATCAGAGAATCAATTTTTTCTCCTTTCCTTCAAACTAATATTTTGCAAGACAAATGACATACGACACTAGGATATGTACCATGAATTAAATTCTTCTGAAAACTTATTTGAAAGGCAACAGAGAATTTTATCATTCATTGCTTGCATGATGACGACTTTTGCTCAAAATTCTATATTTTAAATTCGAGATATTCATTTGCTTGTTCATAAAAATATTTTCAAGAGTCATCTTCGGATATTCAAATAGACAACACTGTTGTATTCATCATAAGAATGAATAAATAAATAAACATGAATATCCTGCTGTTCTATTGGAATTTTATTTGGACAAATAATCACAGTTTGTTTCTCTTGATAGTGAGTTAGAATAAATTTTAAGTTACTCTGTGTCATGCCTAATAATTTGAACGAATTTTGCCTATGACATATATATATATATATATATATTTGCATTTATATTTATAATATTATTTATTTTCTATCTTAATTCATCACTTCGTATAATCGATCAAAATATTGTTATATCTTGTAAGATATTTATGAGTATAGATGAGTTGATTCATTTTGTGACATTCAAAACTTTCAATAGATTTGCTTCATTACTAAACAAAGACAATGTTGAACAAGTATGTGTATAATTTTTGTTGTATTCCTATTCGTCAATATACGTGTAGTCGTAGTTCAAACGATCACTACTCATACTCATACTCGAAAAAAATCCCTACTTGCTCAACCTTGAAGAAAAGTATTATAACTTGATTGAAAAGAACAGAATTTACCAATCAACTCACTCATCCACTATAAGTACTGACATTTCACTGATCGTTCAGTTCAATCGCACGTTGCATTGTTTTTTTACACTATGATTATGACAAAAGAGTTTGAGCAATTTAGTTTTTGTTTAGTATGTTGTGGACAAAGGACATCAATACTAGTGTGTGACATGCAGAAAAATAAAAGTTACTTTGCATTGAACAATTGATTGGACACTTACACTCTTTTGTTCTATCTTCTAAAGAATAATTCAAAATTTGTTATGATTTTAATATTATTTTGATTTGTTTAACAATGATATATAAAATGCTAAAATTCTATCACAGATTAGATCGAGATATCTCGGATATGTTCTATGAATATCAGTTTTCATTAGCAGAGAAGCATATGAAAAGAGAGTATCAGCTGCAGAAATAATAATTTACTGTACAGTTTTTTATATTCTTGTATTGATCTATTTGACAAGTTATTATGTAATATAATACTTGATCGATATAAATGATTATATTCTACGATTTAACTCAATCGTTTTATGCTTATAATAATAGATTGAATAGTTAAAATAATTATTTTTGACATAAACTATAATGAAACATTACTAATAGAACTTTTATGCAAATTTTTGACATTCAAATAGACTGATCAAGATTGTAACTTGATATGTAATATGAACTAAGTCGTTGAATAACTATTCAACAATTAAGAGAACCTCCAAGAAATCAACACTTGTGTTCAATGACATGTCAAATAGAAACAAAAGAAAAAAACATCATTATTCAAGGTTATATCTATACATAAATTTGATTCATTTCATCATCAATTTTGTTTCAAGTTTTGTTTTGTTTTGTTTTGTTAACTGACTCGATCCTAATACAACATAGAAACAAATAAAGACGTACGAACAATAATGAAATACACGTATAAAGAAAAAAAAAGGAAAAAAAGAAAAAATTTTTTAGTTGAATGGCTTACGTATAGAAAAGTCAAAATAATAATAATAATAATGATAATAATAATAATAATAATAATAATAATGATAATAAGGTTTTTATTTCGTTTTAACGACGTCGTGTTGAATTAACAATATAATTCCGTTGATTATTATTATTATTATTCGAACGTATTTGTGTTCGATTAGATGATATTGATGAAGAAGTATATTGTTTTGCATGATGCATACGTTCAAAACGTGGTGCAATAAATTTTGATTTTTGACCTTTAGTATTCAATATATCATTTGTATTAGTTGTTGTTGTTGTTGATAATGTATTATTAGTTATTTGTTTTGATTTATTAGTTAATACGGGAGATGACGATATTTTATTTGTTAATGTTGTTATTGGTTTAACAGCAGCTGCATATGTTATACGTCTTGGCATAAGTGGTGTAGGTAAAGAATGTTTAGTTATTATTATATCATCTTTACTATTTTTATGATCGTCATGTATTGATGATTGTTGAGAATAATCACTACGACTAGCATCACTAGCTGATTGATAACCATCATCTGTATCGGGTGTTGATGAACGATCTTCTTTAGAATTTTGATTATTAATATTTAAATTTGAATTATTATTATTATTATCGGACGATAATGATAACTTAGACGAGATAGGATTTTTCGATAATGATGATAATAATGACTCGTCATTTCTATGAAGAGAACTAATCTCTTGATCACTATCATTCTCATCGTCCGATGTATGTATTAATTTTGGTGTTATATAAAGTAATGCGAGTAAACATGTTGGTAAACTCGCTAGAAAATTACAATCAATATCATTATCTTTTTCCTCTTCGATTTTTTGAACATAACTCGTTAATGGCGTATAAACGTCCGAGTAATATTCTGGCGAAAAAAGTAACCAGTCCCAACAAGTTGATGCTGATGATGAAGAAGAGGAAATAATGGGTGACGATGATGTAAGAATAGTCATATTTTTTGTTGGTGCGGCAATAACTGGATTCCAATATGCATTTCGTGTTGGTGTTGTATGAAATGAAGGCATTTCATCACCGTATGAATTGCTTGAAGTAGTCACGTAGCAGTCTGTAATAACTAGAAAAAAGAAAGAAAAGATGATGATGAAAAAATTGAGTGACAATGAGCACTGCGGTAGTATAGAGTAGGACTATAAATGTGAGAAAAAAGGAAGAAGAAGAAAGACAAAAAAAAACAGTTCTTTGAGTACTTATTGACTACAGAAATAGTAACAGGAAAAAAAAGTCGAGAGGAAAATGGAAAGGGAAACTAATAACTAAAAAAAAAATGAAGGCAGGAAAATAACTATGTATAAAAATAAGCAAATTCATTAAGATAAATCATCAAAGTTCAATGTAAAATTTTATATATGGCGAGAATATCAAAATACAATAAAAAAAAATTAATAATTATCATCTGGTCTTCTCATCTGATCAACATGACATTACATATCTATATATTTTGGAATATACATATGTGTATAAACAGAACAGCAGTCAGTAATTGTATTAATGATCAACTGTGCACTAACCATCAGATGTTTACAGACACAGATATATATATTTATGCACTCAGTTCGGATTACAAGAGAAAATTTTTTTTATATGTCAACAAAAATGAACGTCAGAACGCAACTGATGAATCCACCTTATTTTTTTTGTTTCTTAATATATACTTGTATCTATCGTCGATTAAAAGAGACACTATTTTTTTTTAATTACGCAGCATCAAAAAGAATAGTCGAGAACGTTTTTCTTCCTCCGTTTTTCTATTATTCTCGGCACTTCGACAGCCTCTCCTCTTCATTCGTGGTCTGACTACTTTTAAAGCCACGTAAACAAAAAGGACGACATACAAGAATAATGTTCTAATAGAAGAAAAAAAAAACATTTTTTGTAATGCACACCCATTCCATATCAACATACTTAAGAATGCAACCTTATTAAGGAGAAAACAATGAATCTCCGTCTGTTGCGGAACTACTTTTTTTCTTGTTTATCTTTACATATGGGAAAAGTAAAACATGGCATATCATCACGACTTCTATCGACAGCTATCTTTCTACACATATATTTATTACTTTAATGATTCTTTTTTAATAACTTTAATAGCGGATATTATCATATACTGATGATTGTAATTATCATTCGTAATTGAAGATAGAAAGTTAAAAAGAAAACACTTTCCTATTGCGGAACTTTACAATTTATTGCTATCAGAAATTTAATATCTAGGTTAAATATATATTTGATTGAGATTTTTTTTCTTCTTATTCGCTTGTTAGCTTTCTCAATACCCATATGAATACTAGATCTCAATCTTCAATAATGTGTTCTCTTCATTTATATAAATCGTACTAATTCGATTTAGATTCTATCATAGACTTTGTTTATCTTTATAGAACATAGCAGTATGCGATTGCGTGAACAGTATATCTACATGCAATAACTATGTGATTGATCTAGCGATCAACTTGTTAAGCGAACGCGAAGCCGAATTGAATAGCTTGTACTGTGAACACGACAAATGTCATCGTCACTGTCTCTATCGTTCATTAAGATCATCATTGCGCAAGACGAAGGAGAATAGTTGTCGTTGTAACTACAGAGATAGAGATGCAACAATTTGTCCACTTATGCACATATGTAAAATAATATTAATAAAAGCATTAATATAAGCGCATATCCGTACATATATTACTATTTTGATTCACTCTTACTTTCCGCTATTCGACTTAAAATAATAATAAAAACCCCAAAAAATGAAATTATTGCACTTACACAAATTATTAGCGTTACTCTCATATATATGAGAAAGAACTCGTTCGATTAAAAGAAAAACACTTATGTCAAATTTCAACGTTTTTTTTTTACCGTGATCATTGCCGCAGTATGCGGCTTGACAATGCATAGGTGATTCATTCTCATGATTCATTGGTACAATGCTTGTAGTCGATAATTCATCACCGTAAATATAATATGAACTTCTCGAATAAGTTTGTTGTTGTTGCTGTTGAGGTGAAAAATGATGCGCATAGCTATGCCAGCTATACTGCTGTTGCTGTTGAGGAGGATACCACATATATATATTTTTTTTCTTGTTAGTTTTTTCGTTTCCGAAAATTGGGTCAGTCGAATACAATCAATATAGTGAGCAGTATTGACGGTTTGTCTACAAATGCAAAAAGAAAAATGAATAGAGTGGAGAAGCAAGAGGGAAAGAGAGAGAAAACGCGAATGGCGAAGACGAATATATGCACATGTTCGGAGTAATCAACTGTTTCTCTCGTTCTCTTCTTATTGAATAGAACAGGTGAAGAAAAAAAAAAAAAAAACCAACGACGTTCGTCAATGGTGAACCCATTCGACCGTCGTCCACTACTTTGCTGATGGAAAGCAATCGACGAAGAGAAGATGAAGAAAACGAACAAGAAGAAATGGAAATGACATTTTCTCTTTGCCACTATCGGTCGCGTTCTTTTTTTTCCCTTCTTCTTCATTCTTTCTGGTGAGTGCTATGTATGTATGTGTGGTAATGGTACCCTTATGTATTTCTCTATCAAGAACGGAAGAACGTCAAAAAGAAAGAACGAGAGTTCTTTACTCATTTATTCCATCCATAGAACGAACAAATATGCAGAACACAGTGAACGGACAATAGACCAAGCAAACTGATTTGTGTAGTTGATTGCATAGAATTGTAACCCATAAAACGAAACAACAAAACGAAAAAAATTGATAAAATTTCGCCCTTAAGCATCAAATGACGTGCACATACATACATAAAAGAACAAACATATATCGATGTGGAAAGTTGTTAACGATAGAAAGATGATGAAGAAATATATATGAACCACAATAAATGTAAAAGAGCTTGTAGACATAACATATTAAACTAACTTTATATCATATGGTGCATATCAATAATAATGGATAGAAAAAAAAGTGTATGCGTATATGTCTACACGTGTTCATCATACTGATAACGTACTTGATAATTCAAAGAAGAATAATCGTTTAACTACACAAAACAAATGTTACCCTTGTGAACTGCTGCTTTCATCGTATGTGCACATATAAACATATAGAGCATTATCCATATGTCTGAATGTTATGTTTAATACTAATCTGTCGTAGATAAATAATGCATACACACAGATATAAACTTCCCTTTGCTTTGTCTTTTTATCTACCTTTTCCTTGGCTTTGGTTTGAGAATGATATCTACGCATCGTTATAAAAATAAATATATAAATAAAGAATAAAAGTCACTCATATGCGTAAGAGTAAAAGATTAACATTAGGTTAAGCAGTTTATTTCGTTTTTTTTTTTTAACATAGATACAACCCTAAAGAACGAGAGAATGACGAGGACGATAGATTCTGTCATAATATTGACACACATGCGTTATATGGACGATTTGATTAAAAATTATGCATAAGTAAAATCGAGAGGAGATAGAAAAAAAAAAACGTTAATGTGCCTATCTTAGATGAATACTACTAGAAACACATTTCAATGATAAAAATTATTATTTGAATGTATGCATACGTAAAAAGAGAAAGAAAAAATGTAGATAAGTATGTATGATTCATTTTATTTTTTTTTTTTTTTTGCACTATTTCTTATTGTATTATTTATTATGTTTACATATTAGATCATTATCTAAGAGGCTTAGAAAAAAAAACAGAAAGGTAAAGACCTCTACTATTTCATAGAATACAAAGAAAAAATATCCGCCTACACTGACATAATTAAACTCTCGGTAACATAAAAAAATAGGTCGGCAAGAACAGCAACTTATAACTAATAAGGAAAAGTTAATTATAATCGGGACATCAATATCATTTACCAACATTAAAGTGTGATGATTCATTGACGTTTGATTTATTGCTTCGTTTAACAGAATATACATTTTTTTGACTTGTGTATATATCGTTTTATAATGGATGATCGATTACTACTGTCCAATGAGTTGAAAGTAGCTCATTACGCGTTATTTTTTTTTAATAGTTATCTTCGAATATAAATCTTAAGTTTCAATTAAGCAAATATAAATAAAATCTCAGAAACTAGTAATCTAGATAGATTTATTCACAATTAGTTCAATATATCTTATTTATTAAATAATATCTTCACTATCTACTACATTATAGTCAATTAAAAAAAAATTGACTATCGTTCAAAATGCTGATTTTTACTATTGAATCTCTTTGAAAGTGATTGTATTGTAAAAAATATAGTAACAATTAAAATCAATCAATATTGGTAGTTTTTTTCTTCTATCGAATGACTCTTGTTATTACTACACCGTCAAAGATCATTACTTACTTAATGATTCGATTATATGAAGGGACATGAGTAAAATATGATGTACATACATATATATATATATACACACCGAGCGCTTTTCTTTATTTAAATCATAAAAAATTAAAATGAACAACGAAGAAAAGCGTCTACATAACGATATTTCATCTTCATCAACTTTACAACAAATACAACCAAATCGAAAAAAACGTAAACTCAATGGACAACAACGTGATGAAGCAACTATACGTGAAAAACATCGAATGCTGAAACTAAATAAAGCTTATACTCAACTTCGTCTGGTCTTACCTGTTGAAAATAGAAGTAAATTATCTCGTATTGAAACTCTTCGTACAGCTGTAAACTACATTCATCTTCTTAATCAACTACTTGAAGTTAACAACAGCTAGATATACATTGAAAAAAAAATGATAACAATGACACACCCTTTTACATAATCATTTTTTGTTCGAATTTTAACTGCATATAGAATATTACAGTGTTTTGGGAAAGGGGTGGGGAGGGAGGATTCAGCAAAATAAAAACAGTAGAAGTGTTCAGTTTCAAATGAAATAAATAATAGTAGAAAAAAATATATATTACGCTGGCTTTATTAAGAGAGGCATGTGTTTTTTTCATGAAAACCGGAATAAATAAGAATGCATATTTTTCTTCATCAAGTCATTTAGTATAATAATAACATATGTTTCCGAATGAAAATTTGTTTGTCTATTATTATCAGAAGTGTTTTGCACTCATTTTATTGACGCTATAAATAAATATAAATATTTTTAGTTTTATGACGTATTCCAATCAACAATATATCTCTTGAATATATGAGAGAGAGAAAGTTCGGAGAGTCTCGAATAACAAGAATTTTACCTTCATTTATATAAGTATAAATTTTGATTGATTTTACTTCAATATCAGTAGAATTCAATCAGATGTTTAATGAGAATCATCATTCTCAATCCTAATATCAGAGATTAAGAATGAAGAATATTTTGATCTTTCTCGAAATTAATTTTCTTAGTTCTGTTTGTCATATAATGAGAAACTTAGAGTTACATATAAGATATTAAATAGTCAATAACATGAGACCAAACGATGAGTGCAATTCAATATCAAATCGAAATAGGAAAATAACATAAACTATGACTTGATACGGTATCAATAATATATCAAAATAAACATATAAACAAGAAAATACTATCCATACAGATTTTAGTATAATATTCTAATCTGCTAATGCCATAGATTTTGGAAAAGCCAAAGACACTCATCCGAGTTGCTAGTTATTATTTTTAATTACTATTCGTATTCACAACATCATAATCATAAAAGAAGAATTCAGTAAATCCTATTTAGATTGAATATAGAGATTTGCATTCATTGAAAATATGAACACTAACAATCAATAACATAAAATCCATTGTCTTGTTTGATATGCTATTAGTAGACATGAGCGGAACCTTCTTGCTCATATCTATTAAAAAACACATGAACTGTGACAATATGATATATGATTCAGGTTTAACAAGACCATAAAAGATATTTTTCCTGATGAAAAAATATTACCCAGTCAGACAAAAATTTTGAAAAACGCGTTTAAACGCACAATCGGGAACCGCGATTGTAAGCCATTAACGCTCATTAAAAGAACGCACGAAAACGCTTTTGTTGGCGTTTTTTGTAACTTTATGGGCGTTAATACGGCGAAAACTCCAATTTTGGAGCGTTAAAACGTATTATTTTTAAATTCTATAATAATAGTGCGTTTNCCATTAACGCTCATTAAAAGAACGCACGAAAACGCTTTTGTTGGCGTTTTTTGTAACTTTATGGGCGTTAATACGGCGAAAACTCCAATTTTGGAGCGTTAAAACGTATTATTTTTAAGTTCTAGAATAATAGTGCGTTTTAACGCTCAAAAACGGGAATTGTCGCCGTTTTAACGCCCATGAAGTTACAAAAAACGCCAATAAACGCGTTTTCGTGCGTTTTTTTAATGAGCGTTAATGGCTTACAATCGCGGTTCCCGATTGTGCGTTTAAACGCGTTTTTCAAAATTTTTGTCTGACCGGGTAGTGCTGATACTGGAGTCAATTTTGCTAGAAGTGAGACTATTTTGCCAATATATATTTAGACCCCACGAGTCATGATAATATGAAATACAAGGCAAGTTTTGTATAACCATAAGATATATCGTTTCCAATGAGAAAATAGTCGTCCTGGTCGAAAAAAAAAACTTAGTCCCATGACTGGGACCATCTTGCCCATATCGAGTTAGTAGTCTTCCTTCCTTCTTAACATGTCATGTCAAACAGTCATAAACTGTTCGATTTCGATGTGAAAGTAAAATCTAATTTCCTCATTTATACTATGGTACCCATCCTTGATGTGGCGTTTCTTTTTTTTGTAGTGTTTATCTTGTATATGTCATATTCCAATGTAATGCTGATTGTTCCTTTAAAACTCTTAATCATCGATGTTGAATAAACACTCAATGTTCCGATTGCATTTTATTATTTTTCATGACAAGAGAAGAAAAGAAAAAACGAGAGAAGTTGAAAAGAACTTGCAATGTTTTAGGCGGGAAATAAACGCATTAGGATTAAATATAAACGGAAGGCGCGCGCAAGAGTGAGAGAGAGAGAGAGAGAGAGAGAGAAAAGATGAAACAAATAAATCACTCCTTAAAATGTTTTACACATTATGTTAGTGTTTTCTTATTGTGGCATTCTATATTTACAAATAATAAATAGCATGAAAAGAGAGATTTTTTGTTTTTTGATCAAATATGTCACATCAACGGTTAAAAAAAAGAAAAGAAAAAAAAAACAAACATACAGACGATTAAATATATTTTGTTCGATTAACAATTAAAAAACAAAAAAAAAGAAAAAGAGAAAAGCAAAACAAACAAAAACAACGAAAAAAGAAAACCACACATACACACAATATTGACATTCATCATCATTCGAGAAAAAAAATTAATATGACCAGTATATATTATATAAAAAAGAAAAGAAAAAAAAAAGGAACAAGAAATAACAAAACAAAACAAAAAAGAAAATCTGTTTTCCTTCTTTTTTTTCTCTTTTTCTTCTTCAAAAATCTGCTTTAAAAGCTATTTTGAGATTCTTTTTAAAACAGAAAAGAATTTACACACATATGAATAAATATATCTATGTATATGTGTATTTAGTCTACTTTTCTATCTACTTGAAAGAACACATAATATTCTATACACATACACATACATACATTTATCATGATATGTATGCGCGTAGACGAATAATAAAGCGAGAGAGAGAGAGAGAGAGAGAAAGAAAGAGAAGACAAAATATTTAAAAAAAAAAAATGAGAAAGTTTCATTTGTCTTTCTCTCTCCCTTTCGCACTCTTTTTTTTTCATGCATTCGTATATTTGAAAATCTGACGCGCATTTGGCCTAAAAATAAATATTTTAAATTTAATAAAAAAAAGAATAATTTGAAGTATAATTTACCTTTGACTGGAGAAACTTTTCTTTGGTGGTGTTCGACCACGATGAACTGTTTTTGTTTCATTTGTTTGTTCAGTATTTATTGGATTCGTATCGTAGTGACCATTACGCATATTTGTACTTGATTCGGATGCTGTTTCCCATTCTTCACCTTCTTTTTGATCATTATCACTTGTTGAATGAGGACGAAAATTATTATTATTATTATTATTACTTCCATTAATTATTTGTTGTTTTTGTTGTCGATTGTTTATTGTTGATGAACCACCACGTTTAGAATTTTTATTTGTTGAACGTTGCTGCTGCTGCTGCTGTTGTTGTTGTTGTTGTTGATAATGTTCATTAGAATAATTATATCGATTATTATAATGTCTTAATGAAACAAGAGAAATAAATTTCTTCTGGAAAGTTATTACCGCAATCCCTGTGGGATTAATATCCGAAACACGATATAACTGTTCTTGTTAATCACAGAGAGATTATCTATTCTATGTATGTTAAGACACATTTTTTCGCCATCCTTTTACTTAATCCTCAAGAAATGCAATAAGGAAGTAGTTCATATACATGATCTTTCATCGTATATCAATAATGTCTGTCACAGTTGGTAATCAGTTGTTCCTAAAATGTCGATCACATCTAGATTTCGTCGGATTAATCCCAGACGTGGTTCAAAAATTTTGTACCCACGGGATGAAGTCACAGCTGCAGGGAGAATGAATAATGCGCATCTAGCCGAATATTTGGTTAGAAATAAAAATTGTACTATTCCAAGATTTGAATATGGTGAAATATAGTTTATCAAATGATATAAATAACGTCTGTATAATCGTTAAAAAAAAAATTAGTTGCCCAAAACTTAGCCTGAGAATTGTGATTCTACACTTGTTTTAGATAGTGTTTAATAATTTGTCAAACATACTGTTTAGGATGTTCATAATAATAACCACTTGATAAATCATGCATATGTGTATTACGACCATTATGTGCTGTTCGATGTGTTGTACCATAATAATTTTGTGTAGCAGCCATTTGCATAGCTTCATATTCTAAATAGATATAAGATAGAATTACATATTTTTAGGTAAGATTTATGCGAAAAACATGAATATACATCTAAACGATTTCGAAGTGTCACATTTTATGATAATTTATGCTTGTACTATGGAACAAAAGTTTCTTAACACTAATGTATCTGCAGATGGGAAGAATTGAAAAGCCTGCAGAAAGTATCTTTGCTTGTCTTTTTGGTAGATATCAAATAGAAGATGTTTAAATCATCGAATTTCTGCGGTATTTTGTCTGCAAGAAAGTTTCTTTGTACGAATACCCATGAGAAATAGAGCTAATACCGCTCAAATTTCCTTTGTCATGATTTCCCATGAGACTGTAAAATCTTTTTGCAGACAGTCTGACATGCTTAGGAAGAGAAAACCTTCGTCATCCCGTTCTTAATCAGTAACTCTGATCTACGGTTAAAATTTGAATGAAAAATAAATGAACCATTCATTGTTACTTGATATATTGTATCATCAATTCTTGTGATATTTATATCAGAATGAACTATTTAGTTGATATTAAGAATAATTCTACGTAATTTTTAATAACTATAAACAATATTCAGAATTTTAATAAAGCTAAATTCTATTCATTTGCTCCTGAATAGAGATGTGTAGCCCCTGGAAAAAAATATGTCGGGACCTCGATTACGGAAAAGAAAAATTACCGAGACCAAACAACAAGGAAAATGTTCTCTCAATCGGAACTGAAAAATTATAATTAAATATTCTATGAGTTTAAATGAATAGTCTTATAAATTAGCATAATTCAACAGAGATGTTCCAAACAATGCTAATTAAATAAATAAATAAAAAAAGAAAAGCAACAGCTATTAAAGAACTTCTTTAAATGTAAATAGTTTTGTCTAGACAAAAAAACTACTAGGAAAGAAGAGTTAATCATATCGAGATAAAAAAAAAAGAATTTTGAAGTTCTATTGTATGAACATTCGAAATAAAAATAATACCTTGCATTGAACGTGTATAATTATTTCTATGTCGAGGTGCTTGTTGATTTTGATAACGTTGATCTTGATGATAATTTTGTTGATTTTTATTAGTATGTCGTTTTGGATTTGATGTTGGTACTACTGTAGTTTTTTTATTTGTTTTATTTGAATCATTTTCTGTTTGTTGAATAACATTTGAATCATTTTCATTTTTAATTGAAATCTTTTGATCAGATGTATCATTCAATTTTTCAGTATCTGTTGTTAATACTTCACTTGTAGAAGATAATAAAGATGTTTCAAGAGGTTTTATTATTGATATTTCTTCAGATTTTTTATTATTATTTGTATTTGTATTTGTTCGATTAGTTGAGTTCTTTTTCTGACGTATACCTGAACTTGTATTAGGTGCTGATGATATAGCAGATGTATTATTTATATTATATGTTGTATATTGTTGTTGATGACGAAGTGTTCCGCTCCGTCTATAACGTCCATATGAACCTAATTCTGTATATCTTCTATTATGCATATTTGTATGATGATTATAATTTTGATGTAATTCGATATTTGAATCATAATAAATATTTTCATCATTATAATGTGATGATACATTATGACTTGTCGTTTTATATAAATTTGCTGTTGTTGTTGCATCAGATCGTACACTCATTAATGGTGGAATTGAAGCTGTATCTATAATTGATGATGATGTTGTTGTTGTTGTTGTTGCTGTTGTTTGATATCGTTGTTTATGTTCATTCGGATTTGTTCGTTGTTGAGATTTATATGAAATTGATTCTTGTGGTGTTAGTTCATTTGATTCTAATGGTCGATTTGGCGATAATGGACGCCATACTGTTTGAGTTTTATTAGATAAAGATGTATTTTGTTTCGTATGAGAATCTAATCAGATAAACATAAAAAACTATTATAAGGATTTAACTATAGAACAGGATATATAAGATTGTAGAGACAGACTTCCTCTATCTATCATACAGTATATGTTATTAAGTTTTACTGCGTACTATTGACATATTAATTAGGTGGCGGCATCTATTAATATGTCAACTACGTACTTGAACTTGATACTGTAGTAAAAAATCATCGAAAAAAAACTAATCGATATCTGATGAAAATTAAAACATACTTGTTTGTTGTCGTTCATTATGACGTGTTTTTGTTGATGATTGTTTATTATTATAACGATTTATTTTTTGTATTGAAAGACCATCTGATTGTAATTGTTGATGACGACGATTATCATTTGTATATTGTTGATGACGATTATCAATTGATTCATTCCATTGATCATTTGAATTAATTTGTTGATTATTTTGATTCTCTGAATAATCTAAACTATCATGTTTAAATGGTTTTTTCGATAAAGTTTTTGTTTGTAATAAATTAATTTTTTCTTGTTGTTTTTTTGATGTTAATGAAAGTTTTTTCGATTTTCTTATTATTGATTCATTATTATGTTGTGATTGTGTACTTGTTTCACTTTGAGAACGACTATATTTATTTAATGAAGATGGCTCATCATTTTCTGTATGTCCACGAGATCTAAATATACAACATATATATATGTTAAATTATTTTTAATAATATTTCTTTACGATATATAAAATCACTAAACTCTAATCATTAAGCATAAATTCATTTATTTATATGAAATTCTTATAATGTACTATCGGTGATAGTAAACATTATATAAATTTTTCAGAAAAAGCGAAAAATCTTTGTTAGTATTTGTGTGTGATCGCGCATCTCATACTTCTCGAAGGAGAACCATTATAGCTAATTGCTTGTTTTGTTCTTTAAAAGAGTATATGTAGCTGTAGTACCCAGTTTGTTTTTTGTTTGCATTGAGTTTTTCTATTACTATATAAAAAAGCACTTCTATAAATGGATGAACACACTTTTTGAGATGTTGAACTTTGTCATTGCTTTGCTGTGCATGAAAAGTAAGAATTTAAGAGAAAAAAAAAAGGACTTAGATAGACATTATAGTTTGACATGCTCTTTCAAAACAAAACAAAAAAGAAGAAGTTAAATATATAGAACGAAGACTCACAGAGAATTTTCGGTCAATTTAATTGCATCTAACTCAAGATTAATTTATAGAGGAGGAGTCTTATCAGACAAAAAAACTTTCTTCCGATTATTTTGTTTTTCTTTGCATGCAGACGCTACATAGTATTCTAGTTAAAACCGTAAAAGAATTCGAGATTCTATTAAAACTTAGCGAATCTATTGAATTTTCAATATCGCAATCTTCCACGGAAATTATTTCCATTTCAACGTGTTACATACAACAGCTTGTTTGATGACTTTGTATCACAAATATTAGAACTTTTGAAAATACAAGCTACTGTATGTGAGACCTTAAAATCGAAGTAGGTTTCAAGATAAAATTCGATTTTTATTATAAGCGATTTATCTGAAAAGGCTCGATCCATTTAATTTTTTTTAATTGTGTATTACTTTTCATGTAATGATGCATAATTAAATGAATCCATTTGATCGGACCAACTTTTCATTGCAAATGATGATTGACTATTAGCTGTATCATGACGTGTACGAGATGTATTTGATAGATCTTTATTTGTTTGCCATAATGTTGATGAATTATGATTATCTTGATCATTTGATGTTAATAATGGACGTGTTTGATAACCAGGTATTTGTTTTTGTTCATCAATATTATTTATAATTAATTGTTCATTTTTAAGATGACGTTCTTGTTCATCACGTCGTTGTTTAGCTATATTTAATGCATTTATTAATTCAGAATTTTTATCATCTTGCATTTGTTTTAAATGTTTATCATCTTGTATTAAACGTGTATGTTGTAATATTTGTTGTGTATTTAATCGACGTGATTTATTATTATTTTTTGTTTCTAAAATTTCTATATGATCATTCTTATTATTATTATTGGTACCATCATCATCATCATCACTAAAACGTATTTTTTCTTCATAATTTACTTCCTGAGATGCATTTGCCCATGTATTATCGGTTAATTTAGATAAATCGTCAATATCTTTATTTCGTAATATTGTTGGACTTTTATAATCATGTAATGTATTCATTTGTTGTTGTTGATGCATTGATAATGGTACTGGTGTATATGGATTGTATGCCCACTGAAAAAAAAAACAAGAATAATTAATTAAATTAGTATTTTTTTTTTTTGAGGGAAAAGATTAAAATTTACCATTTGTGGTGGATACATTCTCATATTTGGATTTGGTATTTGTTGTTGATATAAATTAGCACCAGGATTACTTGATATTATTTGTGATAGATCATTTGTTAATGATTGTATACGACTGCTACTACCACCATCTTTCCATATAGCTAAATTGGCAGGTCGAAAACTTGGATTTTGCATATTTATTATTGATTCTGATTGTAATTTACGATCTTGTGTTGTTGATAAACGAGGATAATCATTTAATGGAAGTAAACTTGGTATTTGTTCATTTGTAATTATGTTTGTACCAGATGTTATTGTACTCCATGTTGGTGTTAAACGTGGTTTATCAATATCCATTAATGGTTGTGGTAGTTGCGTTGATGATAGTAGTGGTGGTGGTGGTGGTGTTGGTATTGGAGAATTAACTGGTAATGAATCAATTTGTTGTTGTGTTGGATTTGATATTGTATTAATTGTTGTTTGATTTTCATTTGATGTCCAACCATGATTTGTTGTTATTGTTGGATCAAATGTTGGTGAATTAATACCTGTTTCACTTTTTAAACTAGGTAAATTAGCCGGTGGTGGTATTCGACGACTATTTATTTTTCCTAGATTAGCCCATCCTTGAGGACGAACTGATGCAGAAAACAGAAAAAAAAAAGAAGATGTTTATAGGGTTTGCTGTTAGAAATAAACACATACCAATTGATCGATTTGCTTCATTTGCTCGAGTTTTGTTTACAAAATCATTCGCTTTAACACCAGCATAACGTTTGTTTTTATCAAGAGATTTATTTGGTACAGACATGATAATGATATTAATATTGTGATCATACGATAAATAAAAAAGAAAAAGATCTGTTCTTTTGTTTTTGTTTGTTTTTGCTTTATTAGATATATAAATGGACTCTGAATCTAATGATCAATGAAAAATAGGATTCTAAAATCTAAGAAATAAAAAAAGGAAAAATAATTTTCAAAATTTGTGTTCTTTTTTCTTTTCTTTTCCTTCTGTCCTTTTACGCAGACATAGAAGATGTATGAATAGATGAAGGTTCATAAACGGGAAACAATGGCGATACATATTATATATATTGCACAAATATGGAAAAGTGACATCTATAAAAAAGAAAAAAAGAATTTTGTCAAATTTTGATTCTGTTCTTTTTGTTTCAATACAGAAAAGATAAAAAATTGTTTTTTATATATTAAATAAAAGCTTTTCTTAAGTTATCAAGATTGAAAATAAAGTTGCTAAGCAACATTGATAACAGTTTGTTGTCCATGTGAAATACATGATGTTCATTATGTGTTTGAAAGTAGAAAGTTTCTCATAACAAAAAACATGTCGCAATACGATGATGATAATGATGTGGTCGTTGATGGACCAGGTTTGATTTTATTTTAATTAAAAGAATTATTATTTAGAGAATTTTCGTTTAGGTTTGCCGATGGTATCCATCACAGACAATACAACGGCCAATATTACTGATTATCCGATAAATTATGCTGATCCAAATAGTCCAACGGAGGGTGCACAGGAATTACGTACGTTATTTTCTCTGTTATAACATTCAGTTTCATATATAATAATAGAAGAAAGAACATAATTAATATAATGCTTTTTTTTTGACAAACAAGAAAATAATATGAAAATGAAATATTCTCTTTGTATGAATCTCTTATTGTTCTATTCGTGAGAATGAAAATAATTTTTAACTTGAGAACTTGTGTTACGAAAGTGTTTAGATGAAATATTCACTTATGTAAAACTGTGATATTCAGCAATTGAAAAAGAACAATTTCGATAATATTGTCTTATATAGTATTAAGCAAACAGACGTTCGAAGTTCTCTTCTTTCGATTTTTGAAAACTGCAAGTCACCAGTTGCAATGTAAAAATAACAAAACTATAGCTCTGCAAATGACAAATTTTGAAAAATCATTTCTTCTTGGCAAACCGTATCGTATGTGGAACGTAGTTTCTTAAGAAAGTGTAGATAAATTTTGATATTTTTATGAGCTCTAACTCATTTTGTACAGAATCGCATATTCTATAACAAGTCAAAATTTGTGAAAAAATCCATTCAACGTCAATTGTACATCGTACAAAACCTATGGATCAGACGATGGCTCTGCTTTTCCTTTTTACAAACGCTTGAGTTCTGCTCTGTTGGCACAATCAGAAGTCTCTGAGCTTCCCTTATATCTGTAAAATCAGGCAGAACAAAACATTTACACCTTTCATTTGAGTTTTATTCTCTATAATAGTCAATTTGTTGAATAAATTCTTTTTCTATAGGCTTATGTGAAAATGTTTGCTCTTTCACGTGGTGAATAATTAAAATTAAATAAAAATTAATTAGCAAATATCTCGTTAACGAAGTGAGAAAAAAAATCTGAAAACTTCAGAATAGACTCTAGAACACGATCTGCATCTATGGTGAAATTTTCAGCAAAATTGAACTCCAAAACATTTCTTCCAAAAAAGCGGATTTTCTAGAGACCCTAAAAAGTGTAGAAGCGAAAACTTTTGTCTTATCATCATCTAGGGACTCCGAGCAGCAATTTGTAACGTTTGAAATCGATTTGGAACTTCTCAGTTGATTACAAGAGCGCCCTCTTGGTTGTGCCGTAGTACTGCGTCACGTTGCTAACAACGAATAAATCGGTTGTTTTGAAAAATCTATGCATGTTCAGAAAACATTTTGCGTACAAGTTTTATAGCCTCAGAAGTCATCTACGCTATGCCATATTTAATTTTTTTAAATTGTGCATGAATTCGAAGTTTTAAAAAACTGAAACACATGAAGTAACAATCAATGTTCTTTTTTGAGTCACGTCGCTAACGCTAGTTTTTTAATCATAACTCTGACGAACAAGGATCTCTAGACTGTTCTTTTCAGGGTATCTAGAGCCACCTAACATACGTACAGCATATAAAAAAATCAGCTTTAGATAAGCTCATTGTTCAGAGATATACGCATTTCAATTTTGCAATGTCACGTCGCTAACAAATGATTTTACCCATATATTTCATCTGATTACGCCATTTAAAGAAGTTTGCTTTCAGTTAACTCATTGTCAGCTGAAAAAAAGAAATTTTTAAACCATACTCGAAGAGAGTATATTATCTTGATTTATAAAATAACAGACAATGCGTCAAGTTCTCACCGATAGAAAAACGAATGATTAAGACATACGATTAATCAAAAGTCTAACAAATCTGAATACAATAGTCAAACATTATTTCTTTTTTTTTTTCGAACAAATCTAATGTCATGTATGTCTTACAGAAGATGCACTCACAGAAGATGAACAGTCATTGGTTGTCTTGGATCCGAGTCATCCACTTATGATTCGATATCAAGAAGCTCTTAAAAAGCATTTACTCAAACGTGAAGAAAAACTTGCTATTCAATTACGAGAAGCAGATAATGAGCTTAAAGTAAAGAAAAAATTTAATTGTCTTTGCTAATATATATATATGTTTGTTTTGTTTTTTTTTCTAATATAGAAAATACGTGAAAAACGTGAAGCACTTGGTGTAACATTGTATAATTTACAACAAGAATTAGCAAGACATCAAATGTTACTTGAACAAGAACATGATCATTTCGGAGAAATCAATCAAGATCGACAACGTATTGATCAAGATTTAAAACAAATCAAAGAGAGACATTTAAAAAAGAAAGAGGAACATGACACTCAAATGCGACAAAGTATTTTATTTAACAAAAAAAACATAAAATTAATAAATATTAAATGTTATTGTTTAATTCTTTAGCTTTGGAAACTCAAAAAGAACGAGATGTTCTTCAACGTCGATTACATTATATGAATAAAGCAAAAAATGATATTAGAGGTGATTTATCCACAATGCGTCGCGCAACAGAAAAAGTTGATTCCGAAGTAACAAAATTAGAAGCAGATAAAAGGATTCAAGTATGTTTGAGATTGATTAAATAAATTCAAATTTTTGTATTAATTTCAAACAAAAAAAATAACAGGATTTATTTGTTGATCGTCTTGTACAACAAGTTGATATGCTTCGTGAACAAATATCAATGTATGAATATCAATTAAAAGTTCAAAGTGAGTTTAATTGTCGCTTTTTTTTTTCGGAATTGAATTTGTTTTATTGTTATTTATTTATCTAGTGGAAGAAACAAAAAATATTAAACATACATTAGTCGAAGCACGACTTGAATCAGAAACATTAGAATTAGAAACAAAACAATTGATGCAAAATTGGAATAGTTGTCTAATTGGTATTCGAAGACGTGATGAAGCACAAGCAACAATGGCTGAAGCTGTCAGGTACGCAATTAATCCTGTTAGAGTTATCATTCGAAATTTTTGTTTTGTAAAACATCTCTTTCATACGCAAAGTGTTGAGTTAAAGATTTTTGTATTTGACAAAAACAGTGCAACTTGTGTATCGAACTCCGAAACACTTCACTCTGACGGAGTCACATAAATAAATAAAAAAAAGCAAAAATATAGTACTTTATAGATTCGTAAGTTTCAAGCAAAAAAAAACAACCATCAAAGAAGTATTTCCATTAACAAATAATACAGAAAGCAGTACATATGCTAGTTGAAATTTTCGAAGTTAGAGTCAAAAATTTTACATCCTCAGTTAGAGCCAGTCGAATTCATTCCGCACTCAGATTAGTGACGGAGCCGTGGGTGGGCTGGGGGGCCCACACCCCCCCCGCCCCCCCCCCCAGCTTGCAATGTGCGGAGCTCATAGAACCTCACGCGCACGAGGGCGTTGGGGAC